GACTTACCTGCATGGAGCTGCGGAAGCTGCTTTCCACGTTGCCTGGATGCCAAGTGCATATGTGCACATGCACGTGGTGCTTCCTTCCTGATTGCCCTCTTCCTGCTCCCCCCAGCCCCTTGCAGGCGGAAACTCTAGCAGCCTCCAAGGGGAAACCTGCCGTTTCCTGCATTTTTCTCCTTTAAAAGAGAAAATTATGTTTTTCTCCCTAAAATATGAAAATCTGCGTTTTTCTCTTTAAAATGAGAAAATCCATGTTTTTCTGCAGTGAACGGAAAACCTCGATTCCTGCTCATCAAACGTCCCTGAAGTTTCCCTAAACCACAGAGATAGTATTTCCCCCATGCTATCTTTTACATCAGTTGTTCAGAAGATACTATTCCTTGTTGTATTGAGGAATTTTGCACTTCCTGGCAATATAGGGTTTCTCCATTGTTTTTTGTCACACCCAAGACTAGACAGGTGATTGAATGAATACATCCAGTACTACTTGTGGGCAGGGAGCAGTTCATTATGCTGTAGAATTTACTACTTTAACTCTCAGCTTCGGTGGTAGAAAGGGCTGTTTTGCCCAGTTGCTGCTGTTAGCCTTGTTTACCATGTAACTACTTTTAGAAGCCACGTCTATTTTGTACAAATACTTGAACAGACCTTTTTGCACCTGGTCTAACTGCTATTGGGCCATGCCCTGTCCAAGAAGAATTCCCAGTGAGGGGAATGAAAGTTTTGTAGTCAGGAGTTGGCCCACCCCATAGCGAGATTCCACCCAGGAGAACACAGAACACCAGCAGACTCTCCCTATGCCTGAAGAAGGGGGTTTGTGCTCCGCAGCTTGCAAAGAACAATTTTTCCAACTATTTAGTTGGTCTAATAAAAGATACCACATTTACCTTGTTTGCATATGTCCTTAGTCCAACACGGCTACAACCAACACCCCCAAAACATGGAAGATATAGAATTGTGCTGTTTGAAATGGAAACTTCAGAACAGGAAGAAGAAACAAGCCAAACTCAATAGCAACATATATTTGCTAAGCCTATGCAAGAAACAAACATCAAGCCCAGAGGTATGAACATCTACAGTCTTCTGACTGCTACACATATATGCTTTATAACTATGAAGAATAACTTCAGAAAAACTTAGAAATCCTCACTGCCACACATTTGCATTTTCACAGGCCTGCATTTTGCATATTGGCTTATATTCCACCCAGGAGAACACAAAACACCAGCAGACTCTCCCTATGCCTGAAGAAGGGTATCTGTGCCTGTAAGCTTGCAAAGAAAATGTTTGCCAACTATTTAGTTTGTCTAGTAACAGATATCATATGTACCCAAATGAACCTTGTCTACCTTTGATATTTCAAGCATGCAGCACACAGAGCCATCTAGTGGGCAAAAGTGAGCATTTAACTGAAGACAATCAAAGACAGAAACACCCAATTACCGGTGGGGGCACATTTCTCACAGGAGGGCCACTCTCTCTCCAATCTCTCAGTCCTGATCCTCAAAGGAAATCTACAAAACACTTCCCAGAGACAAGCCTATGAACTCCACTTCATCAACCTCCTGGACATTAAAAATCATGGACTGAATATAGACATTGGATTTATGACACATTATAACCTGCCTGACATCTGACTCCCCAGGTATCTTTCCACTTTCATCCCCCTTCTCTCCAGGTATCTCTCCACTTTCATCCCCCTTCTCCCCCCACCCCAGCCTGTCTCTTACCCATTGACTCCTCAATCTACATCTTCACTGACTGCCTGTCTTGTATGCACACCAGCCCAGCTGCTGGCTTCTTTACTTTTCATTCCATCCAGGAAGAGCACACACCAACTGCTGACACTTCCTTAGCCTGACGAAGGGTTTTTGAACCCGAAAGCTTGCTTAATAATTATTTTCCAACTATTTGGGTTGGTCTAATAAAAGATATCAGATTCACCCAAGGAACCTTGTCTGCCTGTTTCACTGAAGAGGCACTTCAGAGTTGAAAATGAACTAAACCAGCAAATATTAATGGCCTGCACTCACTTTCACAAAAGATGCGATGTTACGGTTGAGCAA